TACATGCTTCCTGAATACAGCTGTGGCCAGGAACATTTGGTGCTTTAAAAAGGCCCAGTGGAAACCAGTTATTGGCCAAACTGACTGGGAGGGCATAAAAGTGGGAATGCCATTTCAGAATGGACTAAGAGCGCAATTCCCACAGTACAGGTACTACCAGTGGTACACTGACAACCTCTCAGTGGTATGTGTTAACAAATTTATTATAATCCCTTTCAATACCAAACATTTGCTGGTGGTACTTAAGGTTGAACTGAAAAGTTTGCTGGTGGTACTTAGGGTGGCCATCATAGAGGACAGCCCAGTTCTCTGTCCTCTATAGATACAAAACTGGACTCCTTTATGTCCTCTATTTTTCTCTTGAAACCGGACGCCTCATCAAGAGGAAAAGTAGAGGACATAAAGGAGTCTGGTTTCATATCAATAGAGGGCAGAGTGGCAGAAAACTGAAATGTCTTCTATGATGGCCACCCTAGTGGTACTTAAGGTTGTATAGTTTTAAATTTGTGGTGTGCAATCTGTCAGTCTGGGAACTTCTGGTTTATTGAATGCCCTGCAAACTGCAAGATCAAAGGCACAGAAGGAAGCTTTCTCCATGGGCGGATCTAGGATTTTTGAAAAGGGGGGTGCAGGTGTTGTGGTGCATCGTCATATCCAACGCAACACATTCCTCTCCAGGGAAGCTTTGCTAAAATAATAGGGAGCTAGCACTATACTCAGTTAAGGTCGGAGCAAAAAGTCACTATAACTATTGGAATGTGCGTTACTTTGCCAGGTTATATATTGTTTAAAAATATATATAACAAAGTAGGCAAAACAGTCAAAAGAGACTGTCATTAGCCCTGTGGTCATTATAGTTAAATGGATGTCTCTTACTCAGTTGAATGTCTTGACAGTGCCTCCGATACTTCACTGTTGGTCATTTCTACATCTGAATTAATATTACCATACATAAATTAAGGTTTTTAGCTAGAATTAAAACAGCCTGCGGGACAGTAAAATAAAAGATGGGCATTACCAGGAATGGCTAACAGACAGCATAATTACAGAAGAAAGGATACTTTGATCAATGGAACAGCTAGACTCTTAAAAAGGATAGTTTCATAGTTTCTGGGGTCGGAAGGGACCTGAGC